GCATGATACTAGAAAAATGCCTAATTATGTCAAGGTATTCGACACAGTTTGTAATAACTTGACATTGTGAAGATACCGTATAAGAGTGTTTTGTATATTTTATATAAATACTTACATAATGTTTGATTAATTCTTCCCGTTCTTTGGGATTAGGAGTATAGTTGGACAGATCAGTGATGGTCTCATTACCAGAGGTGCCTGATATCGTTAATAATAATTTAATAATCCCCGCCCCATCTTCTAACGGTGTTTCTAGGGTGTGAGTTTTTTCACGATCTAACGACCCTAGATCTATCATGGCTCTGAAACAAAATATCAACGTAGAATTTGGAGAGCAAAATATATCAAACTAAATATTATAACGAACAACTTACAACCAAAAGTTGTCCAAAAAATGAAAGAAACGAATTTTCGTTCTACTTTTCTTCTTGATGAAGATAGTCAAGGCCATTAATAAAGGACAGTCACATAGCCCATCTTTAATCGCTTGTCTGCTGCCCATGGATCTTTGCTAAGTTCTAAGCCAGAGGATATGAAAATATGTAACCATAAATTAAATGACAGACCTAATATAATAATACAACAGCAAAAAAATTTTACCAAAAGACATCCCCTTCCACTGTCCCCTTTTGTAATCAAAATAGTTGCCTACCTGCCCATAAAATCATCTTTACCAGTGACATCGTGATCATAGACAGTAATTTCTAGTTGACTCGTCTGGTCGTCAAACATTCGTAGATCAAACTGTTCTTTCCACATCGGACTTAATGTTTTACTTTTAAACTATAAATATTATAATTATCAATATCATTAAAATACTGGTTAATAATGACTAGATATCATTTGATGAATATTCAATATTGTTTATCAAATCAAAGAGATCACATAGACATAGACATTGACAGAGTCTATTAAGGTAAATGCACATGCAAGAGGCAGGGCTTCATCTGTCAATCAAATGGCATACTTCTTTAGTAAAAATAACTCTCATTTGTTTGTATTGATACAGAAAGGTATACATTTGGCCTTGCTCTTTAAATTCTTTCAAACTAACACGCACATTGCAAGAAAGATTTTAATTGACTTGAAATATGTCAGTTGTGTGACCAAAACATACAGTATATTTGAGTGTATAATGCACAGTTTTTGACCCTACAAAGGGCTTGTAAATAATTCATATACACTAAAGAAATGCATCAATCACATATACTTATTCTTTAACACAGATTTTCATGCTGTGTGATCTTCAGATAACTGATACTTATGGCATCAATATTTCATTTTGTAATATACTGAAAAATATTAATCAAAATCTCAAAAATGAAATATAACAATACTTACCTTGCTTTTATATTTTTCATTACCAAGTCGAAATTTAACGTAGGGGTCACTGTATCCGTTATCATCCATGGGGACGAGATTTTTCCCACTAACCAGTACGATCGTGACTACACTACTCCAGATCTGTGATTTTAATTTCTTACTAGAATCTGAAGACTTCATACTTTTACGGAAAAACTGAAAAAAAAAAATAAAACTTGATGATAAATTTCGCTTGAGTTAATTAACTTGAATTTAATAATTGAACTAAACAACAGTTCTAGATGCTTGTTTTGTGTTTTTTTGTAGATAACTTCACTTGCTATTTATGTTCTGAAATTTTTATTATCATATTCAGTGGAAATTTGACTATCAGTACACTTAGTGTCAATCTTATTTACAATTCATAGCAAAAGTTAAACAATAACCAGAGTTCTTCATAATTAATAAACAATGCTTTCATCTTTAATTTTTTACCCACTCGCTGCCCATATTCTGTAAACATTGTTGTCACAGAGTAGGCCGGTGATTTTAAGAAACTGTTTTCTCATATCCCTCCATCTCTGGCACATCCGATTACACATGACAAGTAAAATCACCAACGGAAAAAGACAAAACAACACATCTAGATCTGCGTTCAAAACAGATCAAAAACATTCTCAAATAAAAGACCCAAAATCAGTCTTTAAGTATAAACCTAAATTCTGTATCTTGATACAAACCTTAAATTTACTCTTATGTACAGCATGACTGACTCCTACAAGTTTCTCAAAATTTTTCACAAATCCATGTCCTTCTTTTTCCTGAGCATTTAATAACACATTCATTTTGTCTGTCATTTTTATTTCTTGTGATTTTCTATGTTCCATTTTCACCCGAATTCACAGAATGTTTGAATTCATAAAGTTTTAATTATTTCTATACAGCTAAAGTTATTTCAATTATGTGAAACGTCATCTACTCCTAATTCTGTAGAAAATTTGCAAAAATGAAAACAAAATTCAAAGATTCCACGGAAAAGATAACTCAAAACACATATCTATTTATAATATGTTCTTTACTACATTAAAACCTAAATACACAGGACAAAACTGATATATACAGATATCTATCCAAACTACAATCCATGAGTTAAAGACCACAAACTAGACTACTTTGCAAAATATAATACTGAATATATAAGTCAAAGTCGAAATCACTAGGAGACAACTAGAAAACCACAATCTATTAGGTAAAGTTCTAATCACCAGGAGACAACTAGAAAATCACAATCCATTAGGTAAAGTTCTAATCACCAGGAGATAACTAGAAAACCACAATCCATTAGGTAAAGTTCTAATCACCAGGAGACAACTAGAAAATCACAATCCATTAGGTAAAGTTCTAATCACTACTAGAAAATCACAATCCATTAGGTAAAGTTCTAATCACCAGGAGACAACTAGAAAACCACAATCGATAAGTTAAAGTTCTAATCACTAGGAGACAACTAGAAAATCACAATCCATTAGGTAAAGTTCTAATCACTAGGAGACAACTAGAAAACCACAATCCATTAGGTAAAGTTCTAATCACCAGGAGATAACTAGAAAACCACAATCCATTAGGTAAAGTTCTAATCACTAGGAGACAACTAGAAAATCACAATCCATTAGGTAAAGTTCTAATCACTAGGAGACAACTAGAAAACCACAATCCATTAGGTAAAGTTCTAATCACTAGGAGACAACTAGAAAATCACAATCCATTAGGTAAAGTTCTAATCACTAGGAGACAACTAGAAAACCACAATCCATTAGGTAAAGTTCTAATCACTAGGAGATAACTAGAAAACCACAATCCATTAGGTAAAGTTCTAATCACCAGGAGACAACTAGAAAACCACAATCCATTAGGTAAAGTTCTAATCACCAGGAGACAACTAGAAAACCACAATCCATTAGGTAAAGTTCTAATCACCAGGAGACAACTAGAAAATCACAATCCATTAGGTAAAGTTCTAATCACTAGGAGACAACTAGAAAATCACAATCCATTAGGTAAAGTTCTAATCACTAGGAGACAACTAGAAAACCACAATCCATTAGGTAAAGTTCTAATCACCAGGAGATAACTAGAAAACCACAATCCATTAGGTAAAGTTCTAATCACCAGGAGACAACTAGAAAATCACAATCCATTAGGTAAAGTTCTAATCACTAGGAGACAACTAGAAAATCACAATCCATTAGGTAAAGTTCTAATCACCAGGAGACAACTAGAAAACCACAATCCATTAGGTAAAGTTCTAATCACCAGGAGACAACTAGAAAATCACAATCCATTAGGTAAAGTTCTAATCACCAGGAGACAACTAGAAAATCACAATCCATTAGGTAAAGTTCTAATCACTAGGAGACAACTAGAAAACCACAATCCATTAGGTAAAGTTCTAATCACTAGGAGACAACTAGAAAACCACAATCCATTAGGTAAAGTTCTAATCACTAGGAGACAACTAGAAAATCACAATCCATTAGGTAAAGTTCTAATCACCAGGAGACAACTAGAAAATCACAATGGATAAATTAAAGTTCTAATCACTAGGAGACAACTAGAAAATCACAATCCATTAGGTAAAGTTCTAACCACCAGGAGACAACTAGAAAACCACAATCCATTAGGTAAAGTTCTAATCACCAGGAGACAACTAGAAAACCACAATCCATTAGGTAAAGTTCTAATCACTAGGAGACAACTAGAAAATCACAATCTATTAGGTAAAGTTCTAATCACCAGGAGACAACTAGAAAACCACAATCCATTAGGTAAAGTTCTAATCACTAGGAGACAACTAGAAAATCACAATCCATTAGGTAAAGTTCTAATCACTAGGAGACAACTAGAAAATCACAATGGATAAATTAAAGTTCTAATCACTAGGAGACACCTGACATGTACCGATCTCAACCACAATCCATAAGTAACAAGCAGACAACAGTCACCAACAGACAACATAGAAAACTGATTGTTTTGTATAATCTAATACCAAAAACATTATCTTTTAAAATGAGAGAAGCACCGCGACATGCCCGATAGCAGAATATAAATATTTCAAGTAACTATGGAAACCATATCTTATTTTATCTCCAATATTCTCAATTCAATGATATTTTCTATAATCCTGCACCCGATAGTAAACAATATTAAAAAGAAAAAAGAAAAACGTCCATATTTGTCTAAGACAACAACTTAGGTTCTCAAAGGTTATGTACCACCACGTTAAAAGTTTTAGATTCAGATTTTGTGATATCATGGAACTGAAATACATGACAGACTCTAAAAACATTGCATGACATAACCAAGTAGACTGTAACTAACAACTGAAACTTTCCAAAATGATATATCCAATCAACAGCCTTCATTAAATCATATCCTTTTAAGACATTCATATCATAGTCAAATATAAACAAAATTAATAACTAACCCAATTTTAAAGGTATACTACCTCTTAGGATGACCACAAAATTGACATTGACTCAAAATCAGTCAAATATATCATCTTATATAGAGATTCTATTCTTTAGTCATGACACCTGGTAATTCTAACTGATGAATATATACTCTTATTGACCAAGTTTGAGACTTTAAATGTTATGTTCATTCTAAGAGGTAGTATTCCTTTAAAACATTCCAAACAACTATAAACTAAGCGTAAACTTTACAGAAATACATATCAGGATCCAAACAGTAATATTATCAGAACACAATCATGATCGTCAAGGCAACTCAGCGAGGAGTAACTAAGTAAGCAAGCAATTGCATTAGTGCAGAAAAAAATTTGATAGAAACTTTAATGGTTGTTTAAGCTGTTAGATTTTACGTTATCCTGGAACACATGACCATCATGGAAACTAAACAAGGAGTCTGTAACTAAGCAACTTAAACTTCCCAACTTCGCGTAAATCTTTTTCAGGCATTTAATAGAAACTTTAATGGTTGTTTAAGTTGCTAGATTTTGAGTTATCCTGGAACACATGACCGTCGAGAAAACTTGGCAACACGTCTGTAATCAAGAAAACTAAAACTTCCAAAAGACTATAACTATGGAAAAACTTTTCCAATATTTTTAATCCAAATTTGTAGAATGTTTATGCTTCTAGATTTTGCGTTATCCTGGAACACACAGCAGTCTCAGAAACTTGGCATCAACTAATCTCCAGTCTGGAACTAAGATACTGTATAATTTGGTATTCAATTCAGAATTGAGCGTGAGATATCATCATCTGTTAATTTTCACCAAGCACCATTTCTCACGTCTGCTTGTCAGGTCTGGAGGCAGACGTCAACGATATTCTAGTCAAATGTCAAAACCGTCAACACTTTCCTCGCCAAACTGTTACGATGATTCCTAATCTCAAATTAAGTTGTCTATTATATTAGCTGATGTTCATCGCAGATATCTCATCAACCAAATTTCTCTAATCAAAGGAGCTTTATCTTTTTTATAGTCTCATTTTATACCTGGCTAAATTGTTACGAGAATTCATAATCTCAAATTAAGTTGTCTATTATATTAGCTGATGTTCATCGCAGAAATTCTATCAACTCAATTTCTCATTTTATAGAAGCTTTATCTTTTTATAGCTTCATATTGTGCCTTTAAATTAAAAAATTTTTTCCTGCTTAAATTGTACGGAAATTCGTTATTACAAATGAAGTTGTCCATTATATTAGCTGATTTTCATCACAGAAATCCTAGCAACCAAATTTCTCATTTTATAGAAGCTTTATCTTTTTTATAATCTCTGTTTCTGCATGCAGATTTTGTACAATCAAATTAAACCATTTTTTTCCTCGTTAAACTGTTATGAGGTTTAGTTATCTCGAATTAAGTTGTTTATTATAATAGCTGATTCAATGTTCATCGCAGGATTCCATTAAAACCAACTTCCAAAATATTTTTTCATCACTTAATTGTAACAGAGTTGTGTTATCTGAAATTTAGTTGTCCATTTTTTTAGCTGATTCAATATTCATCCAAGAAATCCTTCCAGTCCAATTTCTCAAGTAAAAATAAGGTTTAGATTTAGCTTTTTTTTACAGGCACTCTTTATATATCCTGATTTCTGTCAAAATGATTTGTTTCATCACTTATTGTATTGTTTTATTATTTAAAATTAAATTATCCATTTCTATTTCAGCAGCTGATGATCATT